CATGGATACGTACATACATACATACATACTGGACCATTCGCTAGCTGGGGAACATTCGTGTATAGGGCCCTTATCAACAAAGCGGTAGTATATGTGCATGTGCTTTTATTTTGGGCTGGGTTTTTATTTTGAATATATGTGCAAAAGGCACGAGCAGATCTATATAGGCTAGTGGGTATATCCCGAGCTAGAGTTCTATATTTGCATCTAGGGATAGATTGTATTAGAATAGCAAGTGTCTTACACATATGTTTTTTCACATCCTGGACTATAGTATCGTTTCCAGTTCTCAAGGTCAAGGTGACGTGACAGTACGACAAAAAATCTGTGCTAGGCTTCGCGTACGAGTAAACACTCACGCATGAACACCTTTCTCCGTTTGTTGTGCCTATAACGCACCCTAAATCTCAGGTCAAAGTGTCCGATTTCTTCGGTGCAGTCCGACAGGCGCAAGTGTCCTTTGCACACACACACACAGCTACGCCGAACAAGCAGGACGATAGCGTCAACAAAGAATACGTTGACGTGCAGGTGCACAATACGGTACATGACTCAAACCCAGCCCAACACTCTGGCCATCAATGGTAAGCGTTTGTGTCGCGTGCGTGCGAGATACTGTGGTTTCTACTGCATCCCACTGTACGTCATCCTATTTTATATTTTATTTTAGTTTATAGAAAAAAGAAAAAAAAGGTCTTGTAGATGATTCCGGTGGTGCGTATCTATGTTGCTAGTTCTCATGCAGCTGGGCACTAGAGAACAACTGCCGTTTCGGGTCATTCCGGTTTCCGTATCCTTGCTGTACACCAGGTTTGTGTATGTATATGGCTACGACGAATCAGCTTTGGTATTAGGGTCGTAGTACTTTAGCATTCCTGTTTTGCCATTGATTAACACACGCACATACTTACTTAAACAATTGCGAGAACACTCAAATTGAACCCCATCTATCCTTAGTATCATTGCATATGAACCCATGTCAATATACCCCCGCATTCACATTCACAGCTCAGCAGACACTGTTGCCAACGCAAGTGACAGTTCGGTACGTGCGAACCTGCTCACCGCTTACTCTGTCCAGAGCAAGAGCCAATGGGCTGCGTCGCTAACTGTTGTGGGTGGTATGGTAGGCCTGTTCATAGTTGCGGCGGCTCTCGACACCCACGTGTTCTGATACGTATAAGTACCGGTGAGCGTGTGGTACCTCTCCATACGTGTGGATTGTGTATTGTTTGGGACAGCACAGGTTGAAGGGCGATAGTATCAAACCAGTCTAGTACAATCCACCGTCTGTGTTGGTACTACAACAGTTTGGTACCGTTCATTTCGTTCAGGTAGTGAAGAGTCTGAGTCACTCAGTACTGAGACAGTGCTGTAAATACCGCCCCATGCGCAGGAATAGTATACCGGCTGACATACATGAATATGAGTAGTGATGGGGCATAGGCGGATGCATTCCTGATGTCAGCAGCTCTGCCTACGTGTTCTTTTACATGCCAAAATCCAGGACATCCAGGACATCCAGGACATCCAAGATATTTCGGTACTGTCGAGTCATCAGATCTCCTCACGGATCGGAACACTCGTGAGTTTCAGTTGGGTACCTCGCTATGCGTTGGGCGTGGCGTGGACGGGCTCATTATTGGACTGGTGTGGTGTCATCAACTGTCACATGGGCTCGCATGTGTTGGCACTAGTGTACGTGCGGTGCCCTCGCCATCTCGAGCGCGTGTCACCACACAGAACTCGCGTCAACGGTCTACATCGCTGGCCAGTGAGGATGGCGTGGTGGGCTTTGTCCTGCCTGCCGTATGTGTCGAGTCGCAAGTGTTGTATTCTTCTCATCAGCCGCAGACATCTTCTCCGACGTGTCATCCTACCGTCAACACATCGAGCAGTTCGGTACCACTCGACGAGCCAGACGTAGCACATTGTTCAACGCGAGTTTCAGTTGGCCGGTGTTAAGAGGCGTGGTTGCCCTATTCCTGGCTGCCGCAAAGCTTTGTATGTGTTTCACGTATGTATACGCGTACAGCTGTTCGTCTCGCATCATAGAAGGCTTGGTACAACAATCACATCAGAAGGCGTAGGAGCCATACCTTGAGACTTCACATCGTGCGCTCCACAGGAACAACCTACATGGGTAGGCTACAACCTCGTACAAACATGATACTGCAATGTACGTCGAGCTTCTCACCATAGCCTTCTCTCCTTTTCTTTACGGAACTATATCCGTATGCACTACTCGTTTAACTAAGGCGGGGATGGGCTGGACACGCGTTGGGTGTTCTGTACACAGCGTCTACCATGAGTTGAAGACCCATGGACATGTGGTATAATCTACGTAAGGCTGCTATTTAAATAGGAACAGGTACGTATGGCCAGGCCAGGGCAGCAGGCGTAAGCCGAAGAATATTAAAGGGACATTCTTAATATACGCACTATCCGCATATACAGGTGCCGCTTATGGAACTAATAAAGCTTGATATCTACACCTACACGAATAAACCCCCAGTGGGCAGTGGCCGACTGGCCAGTGCTGGCCCTGAACTTCTGAAACCCAAACGTCGGAACTTCAGAACTTCGGAAGGGTCGACCGGTCAAGGAAAGACTCAATACTCAACAAGGTCACAGGCTCACAGACAGAGTTAGACTCAGGGGGGGGGGGGGGGTGCGGTGGGGGGCGGCCCAAAAATCTATCACACAGGTGCGACGAGGGGCGGCCCAAAAATCTATCACACAGGTGCGACGAGGGGCGGCCCAAAATCTATCACACAGGTACGACGAGTGGCGGCCCAAAAATCTATCACACAGGTGTGACGAGGGACGGCCCAAAAATCTATCACGCAGGTGCGACGAGGGGCGGCCCAAAAATCTATCACACAGGTGCGGGTCCACTTTGAGTGTGGCAAGGAGTGGTGCTGCTTAACGTTTATTCATGAACGCGACCACTGAGTATGCTCAACGTGTGCTTTACTGTCTATACTATTTGTTCAATCGCAAGTGAGAAAAGAAATGGGGTTATTAAAAAGGGTCTGACCTGCAGGACTGGGGGTCATGAATCATGTATATGGCAGATATTGACGTCCATGACATATTTAATACTCTCATTAAAACCCCAATACGACAGATATTGATGTCCATGACATATCTTTAATACTCTCATTTATATTTTCGTACCCATCTGTGCAAGTTGCTCATATGCTAGACAGAATACATAATATCGAAAGTACCAAACAAAGTATAACTTTTTTCGACCCACTTTGACCCATTGTTGTCGGCTTTTCCATAAACATGTTTCTCCCACATGGTACTAGTACATTTATTCATATTCATATTGCATACTTCTCATTACATCGTTGCCGACCCAGCAGGCTTGACTATCACACTAGGTTACTTATCTCTATCGTTTTCTAAGTGCACACACTAAAAGTTCGGGCCTTACTGACCATCACCTCCGGTCTGTGAGGCACCATTCACATCCTCTAAGAACGTTGGAGCTGACCTCATACGCAATGCGGGTAGAGTGAAACTCTTTCCCAGCTTCTTTTCCTCGTGTAGCAGGCGGCATTTGATGTTCTGGATGTACATGCTGAGTGCATGGTCGTGCACGAGACTTGGGGTACCGAACATGGTCACCTCCATGATCTCCGGTGCAATGACCATGAGAGGTGTGAGGTTCATGTTGGGTCCGCGCAAAAAAGTCTGAGGAGGGTATGGGAAGCGTGTGTGTGTGACAGTGGTGAGTTTTACAACTACTGTATGAACGTATGACACGAGTGCTTGTAGATGCATATCACAACTCTCATATTCTGATGGTCATGTCGTCATATAGGACACACATTCATTATCTAATTTGCTGGTATCAGTAAACATTTCCGTTGTATATTGTCAGCCACTTTCCCCTAGAAAAACACTCAAAAACTGTATACACACATGAGGACGGATAGTCGGACATCATGGACATGGGGTATGTCCAGCCTCACTCCAGAGCGAACATATCAATTACTAAATTTGTGTGCTATGTATTCTTATTCCCCCACGATACACTCCACCTGTTACTCTGCCACTCGGTTGTAGACTCACAAACCACTTATATTGGACAGCTGTACTTTGAAGTTTGGACGACAGCTTTGACATAACGACATACTCACACCCGTATTTCGACATAGAATGACAAATATATTTAAATATATTTATATATATATTGAAGAAACGCTTGTTTTTTCTATTTTTTTTTAAAAACAAATCATCTAGAAATAGTACAGACCATATCGGGATTTCAACAGCTGCTGGGATTCATATCAATATATTTAAATATACGTTTACGCTCAACGTTTATAAAATGCATCTGTTGCGCCAACTATCAACTACCAACTATGTTTAAACAACTGCCATTAGCCATATGATAAATATGATCGATCTACCCGACCAATCGAGAAATAGAACGAAGGGTTTTTAGAAAAACAACTACGAAAAACATACCTATAAGGCTAAAAGGCTATTTAGTATTTCTATAGATACGAAAAATAAATAACTACAGAATGTAAGATTAACGTATTGATTTATTGTCCATACAATACATACAGCGGCCAGCGCATTCGTATCGTTGTTGTATGTATTTATTTAGTGTGATACCGATACGAGTGTTGTAGCTACAATACATACGTATATATCAGTAAGCTCGTCGGCTGTGCTTTAAAGTAAATACAACTACACACGTAGAAACAATATCTAATAGGTATCATTGAGAATGGTGGGGTTTTGGCAACCGCAGCAGATGGTCATGTCGCCCGAGATGAAGGCACAGATTGAGGAATACTATGCAGAGGTAGCCCCCTCATCTGTCTTTGTACTGTGTCAACGACTGTGTGACATCCGTATTTATTTGTATAGTATTGCAGGCATACCATGCTGCTACGATGCTTTCGTGTGTGATATGTGTTTTTATTCACTAAGGTTATTGCTTTATCACCGTATTAGTTCTTGTTACTCGTGATCACATCTTGGAAACAGTGAAAGATCTTGCCAATAAGACACCTAGCGTGTCCGTGCTGTGTCGAGAATCATACATTGTGGAATGCTGCGTTGAGGCGACATAGTTATCCTCCTCTGTATTTGCTAGAGTGTTGTAGGTGTCATACGCTGAGTTAGTATAATTGTGTTACGTGTCAAATGTGTTCCTCTCTACAGCGCATGGTCCTGCCAGATACATAACTGGTGCGGCTATACCCATCCACTAGAGGGAAATCATTTGGGCGGTGTGAGCACCCTTCTAGCACAATAGTTGGTGTACAATACTGAACGATCAATTTGGAAACGCAAAGGAACATTCATGTGCTACTTGCTGACTTTACACCCCCCATCCCACCGTCTGGTCACTGTATTGTATAGCGTGTGGTGTATTACCACGCGTTATCATATAATTTTCATCACACGGCTTGTTCACTATACTTCAAAGCTAAGCATAGGCTACCCATATACTACTTGCCGATTTTACCATACGTTACTAACATACACTTCTCACCGTACAACTTGTCACTACACCTTTAAGCGAAATACAGTATATACACGTACTTCTTGCTGACTTTTCGACACCTTTCCATACAGTTCTCATCGTACGGTTTGTTCACTACCGCGAGTGACAAGCTGGCGGGGTTCCTTGTGATCAGTATGCTCCTGCTGACGCTATTGACGCCGAAAGTATTCAATCTCGAGCATCAGTTCACGTTCTATGCCAGGTGTGTCTTGACGTGTTTGTTTTAATGTGTGGATATCCATGTCTTGTTCTGTTTGGTTTAATGTGTGGATATTCATGTCGTGTTGTGTTCGGTTTAATGTGTGGATATCCATGTCTTGTCGTGTTTGGTTTAACGTGTGGATATCCATGTCTTGTCGTGTTCGGTTTATTGTGTAGATATCCATGTCTTGTCGTGTTTGGTTTATTGTGTGGATATCCATGTCTTGCCGTGTTCGGTTTAGGGTGTGAATATCCAGGTCATTCTCTGTGGTCAATACGGCTGTATTTATTAGCATGAAAAGTGCCTTTTCCGGAGGTTCTTCCAAGTTTTCTTATTGACAAGCAGAGAAGTATATTATCTCTAGTTATGTCAACAAATATGTTAGTGTGCAAAGGTACGCCAATTGTGAATCATCAACACATGTAGCTGTGCTCAGCTATAACTTGCATACTTCGTTTAGATTTGTTTCTTTTCCAGTGATTGTGTATGCAGGGGGGCATATAGATATACACGTATACATGTCGTTAAACAGCATGATGCCATTCTCATCCCCGCCGCTCTAATACGTTTCGAATGTGTCTTCAAGTACTAATCTGTTGCTGTACACGGCGCTAGCGCGTGCTATCATGCTCATGTTCATCGGTACGAGTATGTAGACTCATGTATGTATATCACGTATGTATCTACTTATATCTCCGTACGTACGCACTCATACACGTGCACGATGCGTACCCGTGTGCATTACTATGCTCAGGCGCATATCTTATACAGTCGGTGGCATTGGGTTGTGTCCACGTGCGCGTGAAACCTTACATGCAGAGGTGTATGGACCACCCTGGTGATATGATCTGGCCGCTCCCTATCACTGACAGTGCTTTCGCAATACTGACAACACACTTTATCTCTCCCCACAGCTACCACAACAACTTCTTCAATAAGTTAATACACTTTTTATGTATCTGGCCGATCTTCTGGACATCTCTCGTCTTCTTCGCGCACACGTCGCCGATTCACAATCTTCCGGACATTCTGCAAAGCATGTTGGATATGATACCTGCCCAGTATAACCAGTATATGGTCCCGGATTGGTCCGCAATTGTTGCCGATTTCTACTGTATCTACTACCTGGTTTTGGATCCCGCGGTAAGTTTGCAGAGATCGGCTTTTATGTGATAGGAGTTTGTGATTGTTCTAACTCAAATACGAAAGCTTGGTACAGGTTATTGCGTTGCCAAGGCCATGACTGTATACATGCTTGGGTTTTGTGTACAAATTAGTTTGTGTCTGAGATTCATATCGTGCCATTCACTTTCGACGCATAACCGTATATGTATATCCTAGGTGTATTTCTCCACCGATATCTCAATTCTAACTACGACGCCACTCGAACTACAACTCCTTATCGGTACAGGGAGGCATGGTTGCTGCCGCACTAGTGGGCTTCTGCTATACCACCGCACAGATGTTCACACAAGGCTACTGGGAGACCGTCATTAGGCCAGAGATCCCTATTGACGTACGTGTCTGTCGTTTATAGTGGAGTGTAGTTGTGTAGATTAACGAGATGTATTATTATCTCATGGTGGCGCAGAGATATCCATTATACCTAAGCACCTTATTGACGTTTTTTCGTGTTGTTTGTATAGTGGAGTGTAGTTGTGTAGATTAACGAGATGTATTATTCTCTCATGGTGGCGCAGAGATATCCATTATACCTAAGAACCATATTGCCTTTTTTCGTCTTGTTTGTATAGTGGAGTGTAGTGGTGTAGATTAACGAGATGTATTATTCACTCATGGTGGCGCAGAGATATCCATTATACCTAAGAACCATATTAACCTTTTTTCGTGTTGTTTGTATAGTGGAGTGTAGTGGTGTAGATTAACGAGATGTATTATTCACTCATGGTGGCGCAGAGATATCCATTGTACCTGAGAACCATATTGCCCTTTTTTCGTGTTGTTTGTATAGTGGAGTGTAGTGGTGTAGATTACCGAGATGTATTATTCTCTCATGGTGGCGGAGGGATGGCCATTATACCTAAGAGCCCTATTAACTTCTTTTTCGTGTTGTCTGTGGAGTTTGAAGTTGTACATTGCGGTGACCATCTTCTATACCACCGCATTTGGTTCGTTCACGGTTACTGTGAGACTGTTACTAAACCGGAAATACCCAATCGCTGAAGATGTCTTTTAATCGTGAAGTGCAAGAGTATTGTCTGTGAAGTGTGGGCCGGTGTGACTTATCACAACCTTTTGTGCCGTCTATACGACTTCGTGTGTTTCCGGTGCGTTTGCATGCTCATCAATGCCATGTCACGCGCATGTCGCAGAGTCTGTGGGATATACAGCATCCTCCCACGCATGCATGATATAGTTGGCCTTTATGCATTGCTGATTTCAGTGTGAATCCGAGTTACAATTGGCAGGCCTGAAGCGTTCTCGAGGAAACCTCTAGCCCGAGATTATCTGTGTTATACCTGCGAACTCCATGTGAGCTGGTGCCAACTCCACTGTTCGCAACTGCTGAACCCCACCCACTGTCTACTGACGTTCACAGTTTGTGCAAGGCCTGTCCGCCGGACAAGCCGCGCTAGTGCTGCACGTGACTGCGTGGCTCTTCCAATTCTGGGGACATGGTATCCACGAAGGACGGGCGCCCGCTCTCACTAAAAACCCGGCCCAGGTAGGAAGTCTATATATAGTGTGCATTGTGGGTGTTCTTTTTGTTCTGGGTTTCATATTCAATGACGTGTTGAATGGCCTAGTATTGTGCTGCGAAGCACTTCATACCAGATAGTAAGTCTGTATATTCTCCGCATGGTTATTTATGGGTGTTCTGTTTTTTTTTTGAGTTCACATTCAGAGGCGTGTTAAATGGTCTAATAGTGTGTTGTGAGGCACTTTATCCCAGGTAGCAGACCTAAAACTATACTTGCTCCGCATATACACGCAGACCACTATATTGTTTACTGACCTATCCCGTATTCCCTATCCCACAGGCGTTCCTCATGGCACCGTACTTTGTGCTCCTGGAGGTGCTATCCATCTTCGGCTACCAAGCCGAACTTCACGAGCGCGTACACAAAAAGGTGAGTGGCCGTATGGCCTTTGTGTATATCGTATTGTGATCGAGCGGGATATTTCTAGTATACTTTGATAGCCTTATTTGTCGAGTCTACCGGATCGGGTGTGTGTGGATTCGGGTGAGCTAGGCCAAGTATACTAACAAGTTATAAGTAGGTCCAATAATTTCCTACAAGGACAAATGCGAATCTGAACTCCTTTTCTTACTGGGAATGTGCATGTACATGTGCTCGTGGTGGTAGCAAACATATGGAGCCTGTGTTCAATTTGCGAGTTTGGGAGTTGGCACTGTAATCCTTCGCTCACGAATCTATATTCGTCTTTAACACACTTTTGTCATCGACGTCGACCAAGTACAATCGTACCAGACCTTTCTATTTTATTATTTGGAGTTTATATTGAACAGTATGGCCAACCAAGCCTATCAGCCGTTGGTCATACATTCCCATTATCCCTGGAATTGCATTGTTCTAATAGTACGTCCAACACAGGTATCGAACACACGCATTCCACACACCCAAGTCATGAAAACACGTCCTACACACCCAGTAATCGGGAAGGCATGTTATCCAGAACATTTCACAGCACTGAATATCGTGTTCGTCATGCAGGTGATAGCCAATATCGCCCAATTCGATGCGGACGCAGCGGCGAAAAAGAATAAGAAATCAAACTGAGCCACGGACGGACGAGCAAACGTGTTCGGCTACAATATTGAACGATGTAAATATTATGAAAAATATTCCTAAAGACAAGCTCCATGCGCTTCCGTTGTGCTTTGTTTAGTATGAAGCCTTCCGATGCTGCTGTAAGTCTTTGTGGTATTCACTTTTGTACAATATCAATGAACAATGAACCAAAAATAAATTGGGTCTGATCCGATGCCACGGAATGTCAGTACCGAACTTCTAATCGCTGGCCACATGGGTTTGCTTAGATTTCAAAAGGTCCACTGTGCGAGTACGTCTATGCGCTCATGGGTGTCAGGAACAACTCATACAGCTTTCATTCAGCTAGTCAGGTGGCAGATGGTGTATGCAACACCATACGAGTGACGTTCCACCAATGGAGTGTCTGTTGCTCACAACTGCTCTGGTAATGTTGATACCTGACCTTTTCACGGAATACCTTCTGAGGACCAATTGAATTGAAGCCCACAAACGTAGCAGTGGGAAATACACACAATCGTCAGTCGTCCATACATAAACCCTTCACATTCGAATGTTTCGGATCAATCCAATCTTCGCTGCAGATTCATATGTATTTTCCTCATACATAAGTGAGTCAATGTGCCTGGGGATGGTACACATTTGACTCGTCACCGCATGTCCATCCCGTACTGTCGTGCAATACAGCTACAGCAGTAGGTATCGCGGGTCCTGTTGTTTTCTCAGTTATTCAGTTGCTCCTATGCTCTGTTTATATCTCTATTCCAGGAGTGTAGACATCGCTGTATTCAGTATGTGTTGAGAATCCGTTGATTTGCATTGTCATTCTATAGCCCCATAGTACACGGCAGTGGTCCTGTTGTTTTCTCGGTTGCTCAGTTGCTCCTATGCTTTGTTTATATCCCTGTAGTAGACATGGTGTAGACACTGCTGTATTCAGTATGTGATGGGAATCGGTTGATTTGCCTGGTCACTCTATAGCCCCATAGTATACTGCAGTGGTCCTGTTGTTTTCTCCGTTGCTCAGTGGTTCCTATGCTCTGTTCATATCCCTGTTTCAGACATAGTGTAGACACTGCTGTATTCACAGTATGTGATGGGAATCCGTTGATTTACCTGGTCACTCTATAGCCCCATAGTATACTCCAGTGTGTCCGCCCACAGTTCAAGGCCTCGTACTTCGGTGTGCCATATGCCTTTTGCATCTTAGTCTTCGCAATCGGCGCGTGGTTGGGGTTTTCAGCTGCGTAGGGTTGACTTTGTAAGTTGCTGCTGCAAGGGTCCCTCAATTAGCACAGCAGTCAGTCTTATTGTATGCGTGTGGCTTGATCACGTTATAATGCATTCGATACACAGGTGTGCCTATCTGCCGATCCTAAAGTAGATAACTCGTACCTCTACTAAGTGTTATTTACTCCACCAACTCGCTATTCCACAGCGCCTGGGCTGTGGTAAGCTTTGAGGATACGAGGTACAGGCGTTAAGCAGTGTTTGGAGGCCAAAAATCACAGCCATAGCACCGCTGAGTCACAGTATAGTCCTCGGATAGCGTCGTAGATACAGCTGGGGCGAGTACCAACACACAAGATGACAACCACAACACTGCCGATTCAGTGGATTCCTAATATTCCGGATGGCACCGTACATGAGGCTGAGGTGCATACCAAGCCAAACAAACCAAACACTGCAATAGCAACGGGAGGAGGCGGCGTTTAATACAAACGATGCCCCTGACTTTGATCTGAGTACGAACCTCCGCGCTTTTGAACATGACTATTAAAGACTGACAATTCAATATGCCCTTACTTCATGACAAGGCAAGAACACACATTTTAGTTATGGAATATACAGTTATGTAAATATTTGCCACCCCTCTGGATAATGTCCCTCGAAAAATGACTTTGTCTCCAGGAAAATGCAACCTTTCCCTGGAAGGTGGAGACTCCTCAATTCAAAGGGCTATGCATTTGCATTTAAAAAATGTATTAAAGCCATGACCCAAAAGGCTGCTGGTAAGTGGTAATCTCAATCCGTTAAATCGGTAACCCTCAGGGCAAACTCTACACCCTAAACTGTAAACTGTAAATCCTTATCTCGAAACCTTTCAACGTATATATATTCAAAATTTATACGTTTTAACGATACATAAATACACACTGTCCCTATTGTTTATTAGGGTCAGCTCCACACCAATAAAAGTTTATGTACACGTTTTTAACGCAAAACGCATATGTAGCCTTCTCTAGTTAAACACTAACCGTATTGGCTGGCTAGTTAGTGTGTGATAGAAGTGTCAGCTGAACGCTTTTCACGTGGACTTACAAGCTATGCAATGTCATATATACGAAGTGTACGACGCATTATGTGCAAATAGCCGTGTTGGAAAAGCTTGACACAATTGAGGTAAAACCACTATTTACACTATATGCACCCTCAAATACGGTATTTACCACTGCTACCAATACACAAAGATGGCGGACGAGTTCTGTGCTGCAATGATAGACGGTCTGACTAAGAACCACACGCGTATAAGGGAACCTTATACGCAAGTTACAAAGACAATATGAAAGCAGTTGAATGCGAAACATAGGACTTTCCAACAGGCTGTTAACGAGATAAATCGGCATGCGGTTACGATAGACTTACAAATATATGCCATGTATGTGGACGTTTCTCAAGTATCATGAAGCAAGTGACGGTGTACACAAGGGCGAATGCCACTACAATGTAATGAAAGAGAATCCGAAAAGCTGTCTTCGCCTCAAAGACTTGTCAATTACCGATGAGTATCAAATCACTGGTATGAACCCTCCCTTCGATACGCCCGTGCAAAATAGTAACACATCTTTCCTCAGTCCTGGGAAAGCCGTTGAAGACCATTTCTGTGCCGCTCTACGCAATGGTCTCGGCACATGTCTAGAACAAGTACAGTACGCGCGGGAGCGTCTCAAAGCCACACCGACATTGCAAGATGTACAGGTTGCGCTGTCAATCGATACGCAGTTTATCGAACCCGAATGCTCGGCGATTAAAGCCGATATATACAAATACAGCCAGTTGGGGTTGCCATGGAAACACTCAAGCGATGTATGAACACTTTTACACTGTACCATGAGCGGTTAGGCGACCAGCATTGCACTAACTGCTGTATGGAGTCGAGGGAAGGTTCCAGTGGTGCTGATAATAGTTGTACTGTATACAGAGAGTCCCGGGAGGCCATTGACCGCTATTACGGGCCTAGCGATACGACCGCATTGTCGCACTCGTCGCATACTGTAGGTGCATTCGGGTCAGTCTCAGCTAGCAATCAATCCTCCCGGAGCAATACATACAACCATCGAAACAAATCATCAGTCATATCACAGTCTGGTATGGTGACCCGTGCACCCACCAGTTCGCTTGGCCGGGATGTGATTTCTGCCACGGCTGAGTCCTCCACAGCCCAGAATACTCGGAACGTTGCGAACGAAGGTGCTAGTAATAGCAAAGCCACCGGGTCAATGTTTAATACAAGCTCTGATGCCAATGGCACTGCCGGCAGTTGCACGCGTTGTCTCTCGCCTGGTAGGACTGCAAGGACTGCCAAGCTGGTGTCACCTCGCTTACACAGTACCACAGCTGGTATTGCATCTTGTTCTGGCAACAACACAGAACCACTTGTGTGTGAATCTCATGAGAATACATCCAAGGCACACACAGATACAGCGCACGCTGAGTCTGATTCCGGTTGCGCTATGCCTGTGGCGGTTCCTGCTGATTGCACGCTGACGGCGACGGAAACCAAGCAACCGCCCAGGAAACGAGGCCAGCCAGCTAAGCCAGCGCATGATACAGCCACCGATACACCTTCTGGTACAAACACTACGACAATGGCAGGTGCTAGTCCTGAGACTAATGGTGTAGCGGGGCAGAGGGCAAATGAGGCCCTAAACCCCGGGACAGCCCCAGATCAAATGAAACGGGATTCGCACACGACTCTGTGGGGGAGCTGTCGGAAATACACACCAGCAGGCTCTGGGTATGAAACGGACACTGTGGATGACACGGCACACACGGCACTGTCTGAAAACAACACACACGACGAGAAGGCTGTGCAACGAGTCCCACGGAACAAGCGGAAGTGTACTGAACTGTCACAGACCCGTGAGGATGGTAGCGGGTCTGGCTCGTCCGATGTTGGTAGCGATAGCTCGGATACTTGGAAACCTACCAGTTACTACGAGAGGCAGACGAAGACTGCGAGCTTGAATGGGCTAGGGGGTGTATCTGGTCGATCCAAAGGGCAAAGTGGAAGGGCACGTTCCGTCCCTGATAGTACGAGCACAGGTACCAGAGAAACGGACACCGGAGCCTCAGCCACCGTTAAGCCTGAGTCTGGTGTCTTGGAATTAGAGAGAATGCCTGAGCAAGGGGTGGTGTGGTCGACAGTTGAACTAGTAGGCAGTGCAGGCACGATGGAGGCTAAGCATTATGACAAGGCCGAGTGTGCAGGTGATATTGTCGTTCGAGATGGGCAGTCCGTCGGGATACCCGAGAAGAGACAGGGGGTGGCTTTCTATACCATCACCAAGGACGCCCACCACAAGCGAATCCACAGCTAAAACTGGAGCAGAAGCAATGGAAGACTGACTGGATCGAGGTGAAAGAGGGTGAGGGTCAGGACTGGAAATTGCAATTAGTTGCAATCGCGCTCAAGTATAAACCGGCACCCGTTACCATAGAAACCGCAACGTACGTATGTCAGATAGACCCCCAGGACGACCGTGGGGTTGTGTTCAAGGTCGCACATTGTACTGGGGTGGTTTATATCACCGGAGATTTGAGGGAGGTACAGGCTGTGCAAGCCAAACACCTCCCTAGGGATGAGAAGGGAGAGATTGTTAGCTATGGTGAATTTACGAGCTACACGCTCAACGAACATGTTCACTGGAAAGGTGCGAAGTCGAACTTTCTAAAAATAGATTTTGGTATGGACGGGGCGGAGGGCAGGAAACAAAGTGTATCTGCCAAGCGCCGTGTTCAGTTTCTTGACCGCTCAGCTACGAAGATAGTTGTGGATGAAGCTGGACTGTCATTGATCATGACTGGGATCGAGGTGCGGGTGGCCAGAATGGGAAGGGCGGACATTACGGTTGGACCGAAAACCAAAAGAAAAAGGACATGATGTGCTTGTGAGCGAGTGCAGGTTGATGACTCTGCTACATTGGGGGCCAGGGCGGTTACGTGTTCTATGACTGTTAGGATACAGTTATACGGATATGCGTTGCACACCCGCGAGAGTGGCGGTTCCATTCAGAAGTATACATCCTCCACACACACTTGAGTACGTTAGTTATACGCACTATCTGTTACTCTCTACAAACAACTACCCTTGTACCTGAGGGAGTGCCATACTAGAGCTTACTGTGCTCAAGGTGGTGCCATAGTAAAGGTTGTTAGCGCTGACCACACGGCACCTAAGCTACAGCGTACTTTCACAGCTTTATTATCGACAAGGGGTTGGACTTGGCCAGAATGCAACGAGACACGTGCCTAGACCTATGTCGAAGTATATTCAACATTGGTATGTCGAAGTATGTTTAACATAGGTTTCACCCGCTGAGGCTATCGTACTGGAAAAACAAGAGCAAAAGCCAAAATACCGACGTAAAATTAGTATCACTCGCTCGAAAGCGACATACACAAGAGTTAGAATCCCCACTATTATTGTCGCTATTCACCGCGACCGATATCACAATAAACCCGACTTCAACAGACATTGAGAGTGCAAGGACGCTCTATGGTAGGGCACGGGCGTGTGTATCCCCGACGTTGTGGATCACAGCGGCACAAGAGCCTTGTGGCAAGTTTAGCAAGTAAGGTAATATCTATATATCTATAT